GTTGACATCTTCGTATGTAATACATAAATCTTTAACAGTTTGAAAGGTACAAGAAAGAGTCTGAATTAACTCTTTCTCTAACTTAGGAATATTGACTCCAGCATTTAGACGATCACGTAGTTGAGTATGCACTTGATCTCCAAAGTTGCACTTTGAAGCTTGTATCTGAAGCTGAGGAATGAAGTCTTTAATCTTCTGGTTGGGAGAACGAACAAGTTTATTGAACTGGAATCTCTCTCGTGTTTCGAAAGTTGTAATGTGGGAGTGATTTGTTAGAAGTTCATGGAGTTTATCATATGACAGAGAAACTGGTTTATCTGGAAATGACATAGTTTTCACTAAGCTGTACGCATCTAGCCCAATAGCAGTAATGAAATGTGCTAGAATTTTGTCATCCCGAACGTTCTTTGAAATGCACCACGCATCGAAGCATTCAAGGTAATCAGCAATCTCCCGCGGAGAACCATTTATAGGAAATTTTCCAAGGTTATTTAATACCATAGCGACGCCGAAATGTCGTAATTATTTGTAATAGTAGTATTTGTATTTCGCAATGACCGAATTAAAGGAAATCAACCAACAACACAGAGCGGGATGAATTCAGGAATTTGTATTGGGCGGAATTATTTATCAATTCATATAAGAAATATATTGACAAACAACAGTAAGTATTTAAACAATACAGAGATAGAAACTGTCAGTCACCACAGCCTGATAGATGATCGAATATAGTAACAAGGGAACTGGAATTCAATCCTATGCGCAGCTGAAGTTGAATTCAGGAAGGAGAGATCATGTGATACCGATATACTGGCAGCCTGGAATAATTGGTTAGCATTTTGGAATTAGGACATACCTTTTGATGTCCTGCACTCAAGCGTTGCCAAATTATTGAACTCAGTGCTTCACAAAATCATACCAGGAAAAGTGTCAAAAATGAGAGTTGGTGATTCATTGCCTCCACGAAGTGGGACTTGCCTTTATATCAGGGAATCGTGCACGAAGGCGAACCGAATCTACTCTCTAAAGAAAAAGGAGATCAATAGTTTATATGGAACTTCTCACATCCATCTCACAGTGAGGTAACGTGAGATGAGGGACTATTCCTGACAGAAGGATTAGAGACAAGTACCTACTGTGCAGCAAACACATCTAAAGTGAATAAAGCGATCCATTTAGCACGTAGGCAGCTGAGAACACTCGCTTCCGGGCTATTTATGCAACTGTATAAAGCATGTGTGTAGTCATACATAGAAACTGACAATATTACAACACCATAACTCCTAAAATGTTGCGAATCTCTTAGAAACAGCATAAAGAAGAGCTAGGAAACTATTATCTGACAGCAGTGTCAAAAGTATGGCGACGGGTTACGACGGATAGATCTGCATATGTCTACAACTACTTCAGAAGGAGGGCCGGTCTGATAACAGCATGAATGATGGCGTATAGCTGGAAACACCCGATCCTTTTCATACTATTAGAAGGGTACTTCGGTATCCCTCGGAGCAGTCCTAACAGAATCCCTAAACAAAGAGAAACAAATAAGGTAAGTGCCTACTTCTTTTGTCTCATGGCTCGCCACCTGTGCATTTCACTGCCCGCTGAAGTGCTCAGTCAGTTGATTTCCTCAAGAGAAGACTAAAAAATCATGCAAAAACAATAGACTGGCGTAGATCCACAGGGAGAGCAGATTATTTATAGGGCATTGTATTGGCTTTATAAATATCGCACTCATCTTAATTCACGATTGCATATCTCACAGTATTACAAGTTTTGCTACGACCTCTATCCATACTAGTCTACTTTTCTGTCATTTCTATTATGAGACAATGGCCTCCTTCTGCCTTAAACCCAAACCTCTTATCAAAGCTTCCATTTGCTTAGTCTACTCACTTTCTTGATTTCCTTTCAACTTACCTACTACGACCTTCTCTAGAGTGCTTGTTGGTCCAATCGGAAGATCACCAGACAAAAGACAATTAATAGATCCCGGAAACTCTACTGTCCTGATACAAATAACAGATTCCTCCTAAAGTTAACTAGTGTTATTTCTCCTATAACGTTCACCGAAGATGCAGTAGTCGAAAGGACAAACTATACCAGAATCCGCCAAAGATCTACAACCGTTCCAAAGCAATAAGAAGACAGCACCAAAAAATAAAAAGGTATTTACAAGCTTCTCAGAAAGATACTGAACATCGAACTGCTCAGAAGAAAAAAACTCCCCTTCACTTACTGGTGCTGTTGTATAATGAGTCTCACAGACGAATGCAAAAGTAAATTAAAGGAAATATTATGTCATCTAAATATAAATGAGCATGAAACGTGCAGACAATAATGTAGCGGTAAATAATTCCCCAAAATTATTGACCATAGGAATCATCAGTGAACATTGGATGCTGACCCTTAGAGTTTAAGTCGACTTGTTTAGCTGAATGTTTCCAGTCAAGCATCCCCGCCATTTGGTACTCCGTCGTGTCACTGTCGTGCACGATAACTAGCTAGCTTAGCTTCCGCTTCAATCCACGATTTGGTTCCGAAATATATATCGTAATTTGGACAATCGATTGTGATATTTTGCTTTGCCTTTGGTACGCGAGAATAAAATAAGTTAGAAGTTGTTGGTATAAGATCTTGCGTTAATATACTCAGTACTGTTCGCGGACGTCTATACCGTCAACTTCTAAAATATGATGTTGCAATTGATATCACCATTCATTGCTGAATACTTGGGAAGAGAACTTACAGTGATTGTGTATGAACAAACCGTCAAAAGACAGATTCACTTACCATTTACTTGAAATAAAATATCACCACCTTTTTTCCAAATCGACCAGCTTTTATATATTTTTATTTTTAACTACATATATCTTTATCAAAAATTACAGTTTGTGGTGATTTGTTTAGCCTTTTAGAAAACTAGCCAGACACAAATTGAAACAGAAATTTGAAAGAGAACACTTCCTACACTAATCTAGGGAGCATCCTTTCAGCTACAAGTAGCACGCATGAGGATGTCAAAACCAGGATTGGAAAGGTAAGACAGACATTCATCACTCTGAAATCAGTTTAGAAATCTGCTGCATTCACCATAACAGAATTAAGATTTTCAACATCAATGTTGAGTCAGCCAGTTCTTATATATGGATGAGAAACTTGGCTCGAGAATCACCAGAAAAAAATTTCGAACAGCCTGCCACCGACCTTTATCAACAGCTGTTTTTGGCCGGCTCCTTGTGGGTGATCAGATGTCTAATCAGAAAGAATTAAGAATGGGAGACTCTATGAATGAAATCAACCAGTCAAGAACCTATTGATAAACAAATATCCAAAAGAAAGTGGAAATTTCTGGAACACACACTAAGAAGACGGTCGAGTGATATCCAACCTCAGGCTATTAAGTGGAGTCTAAATGAGAAAAGATTAGTGGGGCATCTGAAGGTGGCGGTGAGGAAATCATCTGAAGAGGAGATGAAAAACAATGAGCGATTGTGCAGCCAGATGAAGGAGACCTAAGAGAATAGGACAAAGTAAATATTTGCTTTGAAAGCACTAAGATCCAATCGGAACCCAAGCGAACAATAACAATAAATATGAAAAGCTAAGTTACCCATTATTCTGAACACTATCCCAACCAGTGAATAACACAACTTAGATAACTACGTGTTCACGATTTTAATCAATATGCTTGTCTATAAAACGCCTTTGATTACTATTTCAGGGTTGAGATTCAACTGACATGAAACACAAAAGTATATGATCGTTTCTACTTATTGAATGATCCCAAAAATGCAAAATGCTACATTGTTTTATTCATCTGTGAAATTATTCTTATTAAAAGTACCAAATCACATTCTGAATTCCTGCAAAAAGAAGAAACTGTTGAATTGAACCTCTTTTTCCAGGTTACAGTATACTTAATTCTACCTTCTATTTATCGCCGTAATAAAACACTGGGAAACATACAGACACAAATTCATTTTTTAATGTTGAAGTTACCAAAGAGAATGTCAGCATTAGTTTAACTATTGTGTATTGCACCTTTTGACGCCAATGTGCAGTTATTTAGACAATTAAATGTGAAATAAACAACTTACTGGGATGCCTTTCAATGTTTAATTCATCTTCAGGATTTTTAATTGAGTATATGGCCGAAAAGATTCACTGAGTATTTGGCGTCTTCCAATTCCTGTCTAAATGATAACTAGTTACTGAAATTTCAAAAGTTCTCTCCCATATTAATCGTTTTAGTGAACATATCGTAGCGGTAAATAATTCCCCAAAATTATTGACCATAGGAATAGATTATGTCTAAGAGAAGAATTACATCGTGACCATAAGAATCATCAGTGAACATTGGATGCTGACCCTTAGAGTTTAAGTCGACTTGTTTAGCTGAATGTTTCCCGTCAAGCATCCCCGCCATTTGGTACTCCGTCGTGTCACTGTCGTGCACGATAACTAGCTAGCTTAGCTTCCGCTTCAATCCACGATTTGGTTCCGAAATATATATCGTAATTTGGACAATCGATTGTGATATTTTGCTTTGCCTTTGGTACGCGAGAATAAAATAAGTTAGAAGTTGTTGGTATAAGATCTTGCGTTAATATACTCAGTACTGTTCGCGGACGTCTATACCGTCAACTTCTAGAATATTAATCTTTAGGGGAGATTTCTCAAGATAAATGGGTCTTTTGGATTAGTTTCCTGCTACCAGTGCTAAGAAGTTAAATAAGATTATGACTTGATGGGCACTAGTACAGATCGATTTATGCAAAATGTAAAAACGACAATCAAATATGCATATTCTGAAATTCTGGAAGTCATGGGCATATTTCAATCACGTTGAAGAATGACATAGCAGCTAGTGATAGCATATTTGCTGTTTGTTTCCAGAGCACCATTTGAAAATGAGATATTACATGTTTTCGAGAGGTTTTAAAAGCTTCCCTTAAACTAAAACCCAGTTATCTATTTTTAAACACAAAACAAATTTAGGAAAACAGTCAGTAAAATAATTATTTATTTTAATAAATTGAAATATGAAACCAATCTATATATGAATAAATCTAAAATGGTTAGCTTTTTCTTTCATGTATTCGTTGCATAACACTACTCCTTCATTTTCACTGTTTTCCAGCGGACTAATATTTTTTCACAAGATATCCTTCCTAGAGATGGTTTCAGCTACGTAAGAGTTTCCTTTATTTATTACAATTTATTCATTATTCTATAAGAAGTAATAAAGTGAAGAACTATAAATCACTTGTCAACGAACATTAAAGTTCCTTCACTTTGATTCACTTTCATTCTGATACATGAAAAATGGTTGTACAAAGTAAAAGTTAAATAATTACAAGTAAAGATTTGAAAATTCCTACTTTAACAAAACAAAACAATTCATGAAGGAAAATTTAAACAGAATAAGACTTGAGAAGAGCATTAGTAAACGAAAAAATATCTGAAAATATGTGAATTAGCATACATATAACTTATGATAGGCACCATCCTGAGTTCTGGACGAAATTGAAATTTGCCGTTAAATTTTGTTAAATGTTCAATTTCTTCATTGTTGGATTTTTTTACTAAATCCTTAGGAAAAAATGTTCATTTTTGTTGTACACAGTAAAATTCATATTTTTCTACATTTCAGATAAATGTTTTCTGACTGATGTCCAGAAAGTTTACTGGAATATAACATAATGTGTGTTTAAATAAGAACTTGTAATTCAATTAAATCTCAAATCTTTATAACGTTCCAAAAGGCTTATAATACTTGTATTATATGTTGTAGTAGTACGTACAACACGTGGACATTCTGCTCTCTCAAAATTTCCTTTAACCATTTCATAATATTTACCATCACTAAGAGTTAAAGACTTCAATCGAGGACATTTGATTCTAAAATAATAATAAAATAATAAAAAGAGGAAATATATAAATATTTTTAAGGCTGATAACTAGTTTCACAGACATTAGAATAATTGAATTCTTAGTATTATGAATTTTTAAAATGTAAAACTGCAAACTTTTGCAAATATATGGATGTGAAACCAATGTTGCTAGTTTGTATTTGTAAAAAATTCTCATGATTGTATACCCAGTGTAAAATGGAAATAATGTAAGTGTAGAACTTGAAACGATGATAGAATGTAGCTCCATATTAGATAAGTTAATTTGAAATAACACACAGCAGTCCAGTATCAATAACTGAATGACATTTCGAGCACAGTTTATTGCTCACAATCATATCAGTTTAGTCACACAACTTCATGATTTGCCTTATATATATATATATATATCTGCTATTATTTCCCATACCTCCGGTATAGGTGTTGCATCATTCCGATTGCATATATGTGGTATTAAATCAATAAACAAAATTCAATGATAAACCTCTCTCTCTCCACCTAACTTTTTAATAATTTCACCTTATCCCACCCTTCTGTATCATTACATGCAAGTGAATGCAATGCACGGTCAGTCATTCTAGATCTAGCTAAATTTTTATGTTCCGATAATCTAATTGACACCGATTTACTATTCTTACCTATGTAACTGACCTCAAAGTTATGACATGGTATTTGATAAATTATATTATTTTTTTAATTATATCTATCAAGTCCTTATGCCGACAAGGTTTATCCCTGAGACAATCAGTTAATTTAAATGCCACCTTAATTCCAGCCTGATTGAGAATTCTGCTTAAGACTTCATATGTTCCTTCTTTATATGACAGATACGGTGGAGAAGATTTGTAGCTCAGGTGCATGATTTTGATGTGGTTGTGTTCTCTAAGCTGGATGGTTAATTTGCGAAGCTTTCATTACCCTACTGGGTGACATCTTCAGCGCATACTTCAATCTATTGAAGTGAGCTTTTAGATTTCTCCACGAGTTTAATAATCATCTCTCCCGGTGATCTTGGACGTGATTGGTTGTTTTTGTGTGTTTTCACATCTTCTAGGTTACTTGTATTGGAACTGATTGTTTCTTTGACTTGAAATTTGACCTTTTGTGAGAGAGGTTTCTTTTTTATCGGTTGATAAATTTTGTCTGTCTCTATGTGTCTATTGATTGATGATTCACTGGAACGCCAAGCTTCTAAAAAATTCTCTAGCATACTTGTTGTTTCCTCTGTCTAATATTTGAACGTTGTCCCAGTCGAATTGATGTCCGTGGTTGTCTGTGTGTAGTAATATAAGGGAGTGGATATCATGTCTTTTGACGGCTAGCTTATGTTCGTGGATACGAAGACGAAGGGGACGTCCACTTTATGAAATCTGGTGTTTTTCTCAGTCGTTGCAACTTATTTTTTAGATGATGTTGGTTTTATTTTCTTTTGTTGTTGAGTCTTTTGGTTTACATAGAATTGAGTGAAGTGACTTTGATGGTTTGTGTACGACGTCGATTCTCAAAGGTTTGAAGGGTCTTGTAGTGATTTCTGAGATATCCTTTATATATGGTAAGGCGAATTTCTTTGTGCTTTCGTTGGGGGCTTTTGGTTTGATAATTCAGGATTTGGTCTGTGCGAGTTGACTTTCTATAAACTTGAGTCTCTAATTTTCCCGTGATTGTTCGCTTGACTAAGATGTCCGAAAATGGGATTTGGTTCTCGAATTCCTCTTCTCTTGCGAATTTGATGTCATTGAAGACGTTGTTTATTTAGTTGTGAGTTTTATCTAACTCATTTCTTTTGATTATTGAAAATGTGTCGTCCACGTAAAGTATCAAAATCTTGGCTTTGATCTTTGGTAGGATTATGTTTTCGAACATTTGCGCCACTGCTTCTGCAATCAAACCTGATGTTGGCGATCCCATGAGTGTCAAAGGAACACCCATGAAAATAGTGTCAGGCAAGAATTAACTAACCTTTTTTCATCTAATAAATAAAAGATTTCCTCCATCCATCCTTACATACATACCTTCAAGTTTTATTTTTATTATTTCTATTATATTTATGGTCCTGCTGCTTTTTTGTTTGTTTTACTCTGATAATTGCAAGCACCAACTTATCTCTATGACTACTGCAATCTTTGTTTTTCCACTCACCATATCATGTAAAGAGAACATTATATTGAATATTTTTAAACATGTTAGGATTTCTATACCACATTGACAATACTAGGTGAAACAAGCCCACAGTAATTTTCACTTGTATTATTATTATTACCCTAGCTGTTATCATTATTATTGCTATTTCCATTTTATATGCTGCATGTTTTTGACACCACCTCTATTGTAAATGTGGAAAATTTTCTGTTTGATTAATTTTTATTTATAATTTGAGGAAATTAGATGCAATATTGTGATTAATGCTGAAAATTCCATTCTGTATCACAAGTACTGTTTTTGGAATAAAGTAAATCATTATTATTAATATTATTATTATTATGAAAGGCTTTGAATTGTATATTATTTTCGTTATTTTTATTAATGATCTTATTTTTATCTATGTTCCTTCATATATTTCTGAATAAATTCTGGTGGGTAGTTATTCACTACTAATATTTTCCGCATTTGTTTGGTTTCATTATTTAGATCTTCTGGCTAACTAGTCAGGCTCACAGTTCGATTCTGTCGACATTTAACTAAACCTATCTTTACCAATTCTGGGTGGGATGAATTAAAGTCATTTCCTTACTCAGTAGTGAATTGGATTCAAGTTGTTAATGTTGCACCAATGTTGATTATTTCAAATAAACCTATCTAATATGGAATTGTAGAATAGAAATAGAAAACAGAGCTATATATCTGTGTTAATGCCAAAGTGTATTGTACTCATAATTCTCCTTCAGCTATCCGTCTTCTATCTGTCTATCTGTTTTAGATATAGAACTTTGCACTAATGTGCAGCAGTTCAAGTCGCCATACTCCATGTAGCACATAAAGCGAGAAGAAAGTATAAGAAATTCATAACAGAGACACTAAACAGAGGTGTGAGACAAAGGAATAGTAATAACGAAGAACAATATAGTTTCATTGGAAATCACAAGTCACAGGGAGTGGATGTATCTGTACTAGCCATTGAGAACGATTTTGAGCCATTTCACCAATTGTTTCAAGCCATTGGTTTTTACCGTCACGAGGAACCCAACAAGGAAGCCAGTCTACACCTTCCTAAGTGGCTGGCTTAAACTAACTGTTGGGGGTTTCATTGACTGGTGCCATGTTTTGGTTTGACCACCACTAGCTCTTTTACAGCTCTTCTTCGTCTTAATAAGTTTGATATTATTTCTATTATTATTATTTTATTCTTCGTTAACAAATACTTTGTCTGTTAAAAGTGTTTTTTTTCGCTTACAATCATACTACGCCTATAAAAGACACTGATTTTCAAGTACTTTCAGCCTAGATTATTATAATGATGGTGATTTTGTAAGACGGAAACGTCTTCGACAGTAGAGTTTAAGGAGAAACATTCAATAATCTATGACTTTATATGACTTTTTCACTAAACTACTACTTTATTAAACATCGTGTTTTCATACTGGATAAATAGAACAGGTAATTTCCATAGAACTTATTTTGATGCTGACTACAGAATTTATTTAGAGAAGTGTTCATAATTATAGAAAAATTTCAACTAATACATGTCAAACGCGACTGGATTTAAGCTGTTTTAGAGAGATAAAATATCAATACTTCATATTCAAATGTTTTTACTATTCAAATTAAAGTATGACAATAACAGTCTGACTTAGTTATGAATAAATAGTTTGAAAAGATTCGGAAAATTTGCTGAATACCTAATGAAGTATCCTGCGGCGTAATTTAAATGTAAGAGAGAAAAATGAAATGAAATTTATGCTGCCAAAGAAAAATGTATTCAACTGATTTCATAAAGTAACTGCTGACTGACTGAATGCATCACACAGACCTATCGTGCTGCAAATTGAAGTCCACTGCGACACAAAGAACATGACCAAAGAGGCGTACTTGAATGTGAGACTTCCACTTCTAGCCTCCAGTTGCATCTTTTTGTGTACACTTCTAATTTAAGCTACATGCATGTCGGAGGATTTAAGATGACCTATACTAAAAGTCATTGAACATTTGCCGAGAACTTAATGAGATTTGCAGGACAACAGAGTGCTATTATCGATAAATATATCCTAGATACACGCTCTGTATGTTATGAACATATCTTTTCATGCAGCCAATAGAGTTTTAGTACTAGATTAATTGACTTTGTGCAAAGAAGTCAAAAATCAAATGAATGTAAAGTAACTCATTCATAAGGAAAAATTCCTTGATTCATCTTTCATTGTATTGATGATTTGTTACCTATTTACGGCTTAATTTACTGTCCTATTTCTTATTTATTCATCTTATGCGATGACATCATCAAACATTCACATTACTTTTATCCTATCTCATTTACTTCAACTCTCAGTAGTACAGTCGTAGTTCATAGCACAGAATTTCAGATCTCTAGAATTCTATCCATTAATAAAAACGTTTCTCTTGTATGACATAGAATGACCGATTTGTGAAGTACATAGCTTAATGTGAAATTTTGTCATGGCTTCTTTTAGAAATCTATTAAGATCAGAAAATGTGAACAGCGTGACACTGCAGATACTAACAAAAAAAAATAAGCAAGATTTGCAGTCCGACAGATACTACTCATTTATTTGAGTAGTCTGAGAAAAGTGGCAGAATTTTAGCTCGAGATGTTTACTTCGCGAAAAACGAGTTGGATTCTACGCATATTCAGTTCACAATAGTAGTTAGTTCATAGTTAATCAGTTATTTTAAAACGATATGGCTCATTGTGCCTAGTTAGCCCGTGTACATCTGAGAGTATTTCAGTTCCTAACGAATGAGACGGCAGGTGTATGTTAAATCACTTCATTCTGGGTTGTGAATACCAGTGGGTTATATGAGTGAGTGGGTCTAACCATATACATCAGTTAGTCCTATATACTACACTACATATCTTTCCTGTTCCTCACCTATTCTTCCTCATTAAGACTTCCTGTGAAGCCGACTTCTAGCCATACTCAATGAGTATAATTACATCGAATTATTTTTCTTTTTCTGTATTCACCGATCAGTTTTACACAAAGGTTGATCATCTTAGACAATAATTGTAAGCGTTCTAAGTACAGGCTGAACTTTGTCACTTTTGGTTATATATATATTGATTTGTGGACATAGAAAGCTGACATTTTTATTCGCCGTTTCTACTTGCTCAATCAGGTGCGTTTAATAGTTATTCCCTATTATAGCAGTCTATGTATAGATTTTGAACTTGGTATAATTATGGAGATCAAGTGGACCCAAAATGAAGCAGATTTACTTCATTTACGTGATATTTGTCAGTTCTGTTAGGAATACCTTCTTTATCAGTTAAATGATCATTCAGTAGACTCCAATATGCATTTTATACTTAAAAAACAAACAATAAAAATCTCAACAGAGATTCTCAACTCAAATCACACAGCACTTACCTTATTCGATCGATAAATTTTCTACTCTTATCACTGAAACGAATAGTATCTGGATCCCATTGTATTTCTAATGCTTCTAAATTTGGACAACATCCAGCAAAACCTTCAAGTACTTTATCAATATGCACTCGAGTATTATATTTAAAAAACCATCCATGGGATGCTCCGAGGACACATACTCTGAAGAAGTTAAAAGGAGGGAATAATCAATAGTAAATTGTAATTAAATGTCTGTAATATGTGTTTAGTTAAACAAAAATTACACATAACATCTGAGATCACTAAAGACTTCGAAAATAATTTGAAGTACCTAATTTAAATTTAACTGTAATGACTACAAGTCTCATTGAAGTTCATATTTATCTGACCGTTCAACTTAGAGTAACAGCAAAACACCATTTTTTTATGACAAGCTTTTCTAAGTAAAGTGGTTCAATAAGGACATTCTGTAATCTAAAAAACATCTGTGATCATGTACGAGTTGAAAATAACCTACCAAGAACGGATTTTGATTTCTCTAACAATCCAGCTTGCATGATAAAGTGTACTAATCACCATTAAATCATAAATATGTGTATGTGCTTTATTGATTAATTGTCATTTCCTCGCATTCCTGGTGAGACATACGGCTTCAAGCTTGAATTCTGAATGGCTGTTAGCCTCACACATAACCTTTCCTCTCTACCACACTTAGTAGCGGCTAAGTAGTGTTTAAGAATGGTCGGCGAATATTCTGCTGCACTGAACCATAGTGATGGCAACAACTGTTACTGGCAAGCAAACAAGTAGCCTTTTCTATGTGAAGGACAAAACTTCAGACACCTAATTCCTGGTAGACACAGGAGCAGAAGTTAGAGTGATCCCTCCTTCACTATCCAGGCGATCTACACGGACACCACGAAAACTGTCTCTCCGGGCACCCAACCACACAAGCATACAGACGTAAGGGGAACAATCCCTTGTAGTGGATCTAGGTTTACGTCGGCGTTTTACATAGATTTTCATAGTAGGTGACGTGGGCTACGCCATCTTTGGGGCTGATTTCTTAGGTAATTTCAATCTGTTAGTTGACGTCAACAATAAAAAACTGATTGATAACAACATCCAACTAAAGATCCATGGAATTATCTCCAATTACTCTGTCTATAATATCAGCATCGAAAGACCAGCGGATTGCACTTTTTCCGCCCTGCTTCAACGTTTCCCTAAAATACTTAAACCGTGGTATAACGTCGAGGACGTACCCCATACAGTCACTCACAAGATTGTTACCATGGGTCAACCGGTTCGTGTTCGTCCTCGTAGATTACCCCCTGACAAATTAGCAGCAGCCAAGGCAGAATTCGAACACATGATGCAGCTCGGCATCTTCACACCTTGCAATAGTCCTTGGTCTTCACCCTTACACATGGTTGCTAAGGCTGAGCATGATTGGAGGCCATGTAAGCATTATCGACATTTAAGCAATGCCACAGTTCCGGACCGTTACCCGATTCCCCACCTACATGATTGCTCCCTGACATTACGTGGAAAAACCATTTTTTCTAAAGTAGACTTGGTCAGGGCCTATTGTCAAATACCAGTTGCCCCAGAAGATATCGAAAATACGGCCATCATCACACCTTTCGGTTTGTTCGAATTTCTGTGCATGCCATTTGGTCTAAAGAACGCCGCACTATACTTCCAACGTTTCATGGATCAGGTCACACAAGGTTTGGCTTTTGCATTTGTATACACAGATGACATCTTAATTGCTGAAGAACATATAGATCGCTTCACCATCTTATTTCAGCGATTTGAGCAATATGGCGTCGCCATAAATCCCAAAAAGTGCATATTCGGTGTCTCCTCTATAAGTTTTTGGGACACCACATAACCGCAAATGGTATTAGGCCTACGGAGGAAAAGATAGAGTCCATCAAAAATTTCCCCAAACTAGATTCGTTCACGAAGGTCAGACGTTTCTTGGGGATGTTTCACTTCTATCGACGTTTTATTCATTCGTGTGCCTCCATAGTCCAACCTTTAACCGATCTCCTTAAAAGTGATCCTAAAAGTTTCAATGGTCAGCGCAAGCACACGAATCTTTTTTCAACGCTAAAGATGCTTTATCCAAAGTCACTATGCTGTCCCACATCAACCCCGAAGCATCCCTTATTCTGTGCACAGATGCCTCCCAAGTAGCTGTGGGGGCAACATTACAACAGAAGATGAAGAGTGAAGTCACCCCACTTGCTGTTATTACTATTGTTATTTACTTCACTAACAGTAAGTTACAGGTAGTCTCTCCGGACCTCTAGGGGGGGGCCGTGTGGAGTACATCAAAATACGATTGTACACTTTTTGTTAGTTGTAGAAATTAGAAACATTGTACATGATTTTTGTTTAAAACGATTCTTGTTAAAATACACATAACTTCCATGTACAATACGAAATACACTATACCGTTGGAAGCTTCGCCTTCTCTCAGGTCGTTTCTGCTTACTTGCTCCATCTTGTATACTTTGGATTTATTTCAGGAGTCTATTATCCTTATCCAAAGACAACTCTACAACCAGTCCAGAGCATCTACCAGCAGACGCATTCCAACGGTGAACGCTCCCTTGGATTATGTTGATAATTTGTAGCCGCGAACTATAACGTTATAACCAAGTAACCTTTTCATTAACATAACGCATTACTGCATTTTTTGATAATATATATTTGCCCTATCATCTTGTGGACTTGGATTTTTATTCGCATATTTGCAATGTTAATGAGCTCTCCTAATAGTCCCTCACAGATATGCATAGCTAGATACCACTCATATCAGCGTCTGCCTGATTTTAGATCACTTCATTTTGACTAGCAAGTACGATTGGTTGACGTCATGGTATCCGACTGCTCGCACCAATCGGTCAGTGGTATGTGGATAATGCATTTATGCTTACTTTCTTGGGTGTCATTCGTATACCAAGCAGATCACATCTATTACCATCTAGATAATTTCGATGTATATAAGAAAATGTGGAACTGTGTAAAGTTCAAATAAGATACTAACTTACGAATTGAGAATTTGGCTTATTAATTTAGCGTTCCGTGTGGAGCACTAAGTTTCAAGAATTTGAAGTTTCAGTAACGGTTGTGATATGAATCTAGCGTCATGCCTAACCATCCTCTTTTCAGGGCTAACTACCAGTGATAAAATTAGGAGAGGTTTAGGGGGACATCGTCCGACGTTCAAACCTCGACTGCCAGCTAGGCTTATTTTACTCTGAGTAGGATAAAACAATGAACTTGGAATCCAGTCCCAAATGCTAGCTGACGTATTTTTTTTTTTCCCCTTTTTGGATTTGGGCCAGTTTGCAGGCCACCATAGATATCAGGTGTGCGTCGGCGAGGGTTCGAACCCCGGACCATGTGCATGGTCGGTGGGAGTCCTAACCACTGTGCCACCGACGCACTATTCATGAACATCAAAACTAAGTGAAACATATCCGTTACGATACCTAAAAATGTGTTCAAACTCTTTTATTTATTATAAAAGACAATAGACCAAAAACTCAGCATACTTTATTGATCCAAGATATGGAATAACTGTTGTCCAGAAATATTCAGCTAAAGTAGCTTTTCCATGTAACATAAGACCATGTAACTGATGACCATGAGTTTTCAAGAAATTTGTTATTGATTGCTCACCCAATGCTGGTGTATGACTTAAGTCAATTGCCTTGATTTGTTTGAATTTGCCCATTTCACACAGTGTATTCAGAATCTGAAAGAAAATACGATTAAATATGAGTTAATTATCTTGTAGCATATGTTACTGACAAGAATCTGGAAGTAATACATTGGTGAAATTTTCAGTAAGAATCTTGAACAGAGGAGTGATGGACTAATTTTCGAAGAAGAGAAGTGAAGACAACTGTTAAGCAATGTAGAAATCACGAAATAAAGACCAAAGAGGTAAAATATGGACAAATTTTCTTTATACGTTAAAAACTCCACCTATAACTGCGAAGTCCGTTTATTTCAGTGTGATATCAGTGTTGAAATCAGTGTAAAACTGTTTCTCTCCGACTGCACAGTCCCCTAATATTGAACTGTAAATGCACATGTCCAGCCAACTCCCTAGTTATGAAATTTAGATACTGAAGCGTGTTCTGACTTCAGATGTCCACAGCGTTACTATTTGATATATGTAATTAAATTATTCAACCACATAGTGAGGTTAAAAAAGATTTCAGAGGAGAAAATTTTCTTTTCGACGATTTCATTTTCTTGTATCTGTTAATGTTTGAAAGTAAGTGGATATACTAGTGTGGTAATACTGGTACAATTGATTGTGAGTCACAAATTGATTAGATATATGAATGAATGCTCTCTGGTGACTGGCTGCAGAACGAAATTGACTAGAGTTATAGCCAGAAGTTGGAAGTGAGAACAAATACCCGCTGATCAGATTGGGTGGTGATTGCACTAAAACTACACACTGATAGATATTAGAATTCGTGGACTGAGTAGGGTTCCAGGGGCTGAACTGCCCACGAGCTAACCTTGTGATATGAACATCTTGGGTTTGAACTTCGACGGTGGGTGCCTACTGCCAGCGAGTCTCAAAGTGGCGCGAAACAAATGTTCAGTATTCCCTAGCTTTCAGCTGTGCTCTAAATGAGATCAATTTGTTATCAAACCCGAATAAATAAATGTCAACATTTAGTGCAACAGATGTGCTTAAAATTTGTGAAAGAACTATAAAGTATGTTGAGAAGTGTGAATATGTGAATGCAATAAGATGGGAAAAAGAAGGTGACTGAAGTGTTGCCAGTAAGATAAAACGAATAAAATGTTATTTATTATTATTTCCTTTAATTCCTAGAGAAACATAGGGCTTTAGCCATACGTCTACATTGCGTTCGGTTCTCTGCCAACATTTTCACCTGGCTTAATGTCTGCCCACTTGCTTTCATCTCCTCTTCACATGACATCCTCCATGTCGCCGTTACACTGACAACCACCTCACTGCTTCCCATTCAGGTTTCACTTGAGCGATGGCATGGCGTGTGATATCACTCGATGGTTTTCTGATAGTATGACCATTCACCTCCATTTCTTCCTCCATATTGGTTGCCCAATCGGTTCCTGCTAAATTGGCTTGCTCTCAGAGATCCATCCATGTTTCCGATCTTTTCTGGTTGGCAATCTGATCTTGTGTAGTATTGAGCAAAGACAGGTGTTGATGAATGTCTGTATTTTGTTCAAAGTAGCCTTCATGACGAGGCGCCAAGTCTCTTATCCGCATAGAAAGTAGTACTGACTTCACATTGAAGCGTAAAATCCGAATCTTGTTTTTCATGCTGAGTACTGTTGATCTTCACACAGACTTGAGAGAAATGAAAGCTTGCATTGCTTTTACAATCCTCGCTTTCATATCCTCATCAGTTCCGCCTGTAATTGAAATGATGATTTCCAGGTAGGTAAAGGAGGTTACTTCTCTCAGGCTCCTTCCATTTATGCTGACTGTTGCTGTCGCTGTTGGTCAGGAATCTTTATCACCTCTGTTTTCTCCATGTTCACCTGAAGTCCTATCTTCGATGCTTCTTCTGCCAACTTGTTGCCTTGTTGTTAGAGTGTAATAATGTAAAGTGAAATAAAACAAGACAAGAAATGGGGCATGATAAAATCAAGGCCATAGTAACGAAAGAGATCATACAAATTGATTTTCTAAGTAAAATTCTAGATTTGTGTTCTGAATTGTGAAAGCTTCCGCCATTTAAAACAAATATACTTGTATCTCTTTTTCAGCAAACTTTGTCGAACTTTATCGATTAAAAATAAAGTATGTATCAGATAGTCATTATCTACTCCATGTAGCAGTATAGATGAATCAATGGATTTTATGCTCTCCGCAAAGGTGGGAAGTGCTGTTTAACGCGGCATGGTATGTTTCTTGACGAACGTTCCCTTTACTTAGTTCCACAAGAGCAGATAAACATATAAATACACATGAAATTTGACAATCTAGGTACCATTTCCTTAACACTTAGGTGCACCAGTGGACGACTTGAGTAAGTTATTCGCAGAGCTCCAGCAAAGAACACGCTTCCCTTACTGTCAAACTTAAACACAGACATACAAGAAAACTGTTTTGTGTACTTTAATTCATAAATACATATATATAAATACTGCTATGAAAATGAAGTTGTTAGAAAGGGAATTTCTTTCGCTGAAATCTTTAGCTTATATATGAGACTATAAGAAACAATCAGATTTTTACAGTTGATAATCAAAAACTGTACAAACTTCCCTCAAATTAAACAGCGTTTTGAGCAATAATGGGTAAATTGTATATTAAATAAGCAGAGAAAATCAGACTCCTTCTTTTAGACATACCTGATCAGTGAAGAAGTCTGTATGACCAGCGGCTAGATAAGTGAAATATGGGATACGCATAAGGAAATTTTCAAGACATTCTGCAGATAATTCTGTAGACGTAATATCCAGTTCACATATGCCAGAATTTTCCCATGGTGCAGCCATCATATAGTCATCTTGAAGACCTTTAATAAATAAGTTTTATAATATGATTTCACTTAATTATTGATAAACATCTAACATTTGATTAAATTAAAGAGTAATGCTTTCAACAGTAATTTCAAATTGAAATACTTAATATTTTATATGTCAACAAAACAATAACAACACATTAAACAATATAAAATAAATTCATTCGGTTTTATCAGTATTCTCATACTGCATACAACCTGAAGAATGATATTTAATGGTGTTATTATAATTCTAACATACATAGTTTGCTGAAGTGTATGTCAGTCATAGTAAATATAATAGTTTTTCCTTCACGTTCTCAGTGGGACATAGGGCTACAAGCTAGTGGCTTGAAGTTTTTGTAGCAGTGTTTAGTTTTACAGGATGGGGTTGCTAGCCCCATGCCCAACCTTTTCTCTTTACCGCATTAGCTTAGCGAGGTAGAGGAGTGCGTCGGTGGCCGGTGACCAAACCCTAGACCATGTGCATGGTTGGCGAGCGTCCTTACCGCTGTCCCACCGGCGCATGTCAGTGAAACATCATTAGAATATTCGCCAACCATGCCTCATGTAGTCCTGGTCAGTGCACTCCTAGACCTCTCCTAGCCAGTAGGAAGCTCGGCAAAGAGGGGAGGTTGAGCATCACACTAACTATTCTACGCCGTAAAAATTATGCACCACTGCTTACGAAACTTTAATGCTACAGTCTGAGGAAATATGTCCTACTCGGATAGTAAAGGAATAAAATAAAATAAGTTTGTTCTAGGCAAAGTGTGTAACAATAGTCAACAATGATCATAGTATATAGAGAGATAAATAAAAATGTTCAGTTAGTAAAATATAAAGTACTGTTTTACTTATTTGTATATATTATCGATTAAAAAGGGTAGCAACAAGTTATCAAAGTACGTATATTATGACAATAAAAAAATCGACAATACAAAACTGAGCTCTGGAAAGATATATCGTGAATTAGGCGCTTTTAATTAGATATCACATAAGTGAAGAATGGAGTCTAATGCGTAATAATTTAATGAAGTAAGAGAGAAAGGAAATCAACATTTCCATCTAATAAAAGAATATATAATCAATTGAGATTAAAAGATGAGATACTGAGGTGGCGAAAGACTTATTACAGCTTCCTTTGAATACATAAGTCAGATTTTAAGCGTTTGATAGCAGTGGCCTCTGTAAACTTTAAGCTACCTGAGCTTGACTGTTTCTTTATTATTTAGAAGCTATTCAAGATGTCTGCTTAATGTTTTATGTCAATCAGATTTATGATAACTACCTTGTTTAAAGACATACTACCTCTTAATCGCAGACTTTCTGGTGTGCGATCAGAAAATATAAGATAGGCCTTTCCTTCTGTTCTTCCAATGTACCTGTCTCAGAAGTTACGTGTAAAATGATATACACTGTTGTAGGTAAGAAAGAATTTTCTACCGAACGAATGAAAGTGCTGTTCAGTGCTCAGGAACGAATCAAGTTACAGGGAATGTCTAAGTCAGTGATTTCTTAAGTTGTTGATTGGTTATCCCTACAATATCGACACTTTTAAACTTTAAGTGGATGAACAGAGGCTTCTTATTCACTTTAGTATTTTTCCATCCTTTTATTTTAATATTCAAAAAATCTATCGATAAATCTATGCATATATCCATTGTCTTGCAGACATTCTTATAAAACAAGAAGTGTTGATTATAAAAAGCAAGCGAAACTGTCTTGTGAATTATTTGACGTTGCAATGAGCTAATAGAATGCTTTTACCACAAACGTATGTTTAGGTTCAAGGTAATTTGGTTAGTTCAGAAGTAGAGTTTAATATTGCAGGAAACTAGTCGTTCTGTAAAGAGTAGACAGTTCGTTTCTCAGCTAGTACTTCTTGGCAAGTAAAATAATCTTTTTAGAGATTTAACTGTAAAGTCTGTGTCAACAAAATCTGAAGGATGAAACTAAAATGGACAGCTTCACTGCAGTCATCAGAGCAGAGTCGAAGACAAGTTACGCAGCATCGATAAGGGAACCTATGTGGGAGAAGACTCTAGAGAATCTAGACTTCGAGGACGATTTATGTCCAATGTCACACAAATTCGAAAATTTACAGGCAAAAACCAGTAAGCTGGGAGAAGAAACGGAGAAGGAGTTAAGGTAAACACAGAGAAGACAGGGGCTATGGAGATGACCAACAAACGAAAACAAGTACCAGTCACTCCCGACTGGAGAAGTTTGAACGAGTTTACTTCCTCCATTTATGTAGGAGGCATCCTTCCAAAGACAAACACGCGGCACAGGTGAGGATGTCAAAGCCAAAATCTGAAAGGCAAGGCAGATATTCAGCTTGGGAATTCGCTGCACTCATCATAAACAACGTGATTCGGGTTTTCAGCACCAATGGTGAGTCAGCCAGTTCTCAAATATGGGTAAGAAACGTGACTCGCGAGTCACGCCAAGCATTTCGAACAGCCTGCTGCAGAGTTTTATGAACAGCTTCCTTCGCCAGCTCCATGCAGGAGATCAAATGCCTAACCAGAAAGAATTGGGGAAAAGACACTATGTGAATGAACCAACCAGCAACCTATTATTCAACATATATTTCGAAGAAAATGAAGATGGGTTGGACACACTCTGAGGAAACCTTTGGGGAACATCTCGTGTCACTCCATCACTGCAGTAAGACCTGAATGAGAAGCGAAGAATTGGGCACCCGTGGATAACATGGAGGAGGCCGTGTTAAGAGTAGATGACAGCCTACGTGTAATCGTGTGGTCAGCGAAGAAGGACTGCAGATAACAGGATGAAATTTTCCCCTCAGAACCCAAAGGAATAATAAAGATAGTTGTTTTGATACGACATCATTCCTAGATAATGTGAAAAATTGTATTTGAAAAACACGGAAGGAACGAGACGCATGTAAAGCAAGTTAAGAAACTGTGAAACATCACTGAATGTGTAATCACAAATATATTTTTAAATGAAATGGCACCATTGCTGGGGTAAATGTAACTAGAAGAAGATTCAGAAATGAGTTCATAAAGCTTCGATGCCTACGAAACAAATTCGTGTCAAAATTCTGAAACTGAAGTTGACAAAAGATGCGAAACTTGAGGATACGACAAGAAACATTTTCATTACATTATGCCATCAATTCATAGGTTCGTTGTTCTTCTCAGACATGAACTTTATTTAAATCTGCTTACATTATTTTACTATGTAAGGCGAAAAGTTGTAAGATGCTCATATTTCATTAGTAATACTATTACTATTCTTTAGGGTTCAACGTGGAACATGAGTCTTCACTAGTACGCCGTCATTACACTCTGGTGCCTGCAACCTTTTATGACTGACTCCAAGCTTTACAGTAAGCTTTCATTTCTTTTGGCATAATCTACTTCTTGTCAATCTCGCATTGACGCCCAGCACGTCGTTTCTTGTTCGGATTCCACTCAGAGGTCTCTTCAGCATATGTCGTATCCATCTGTATTAACTCATGAATATTTCTAAGGCAGCAGATTCTCGGTTGGTTCATTATCACAGCCTCCTGCTACTTATCTTTTCTGGCTATCTGATCTTCACTGTGAAGCAAAAGCAGCTATTAATTAAAGTCTGCTACTCATGACGACTGAGCCAAATCGCTAAACAGTATAGAAGAACTGATTGGATATTAGTGTAGAACATTTAGAATTTGTTTCTTGTACAGAGTGCACCAGGTTTCCACACTGGTTGCAGATTATTGAAGGCCTGTCTTGTTCTGTCGATTCTGAGTTTGACATCTTCATCCGTGAAGACGTGTGTAGTTGAAATGATGCACTCAGCAAACTCATTAAAGGTGTTAAGATTCAATTTATATTTATAATGCAAGCGAATTTAATATTCTACCGTTATTATTATTAACACTACTCTAATTTTATGAAAGACTCTAAATGAACTGACTATTCAAAATAAATATAAATAATAAACAATTAAATAATCTTACCACAGTGTTCAAGAAGTAACGTTTTAAGCTTTTTACAATTTGCTATCAACAATGCAAATGATGATCCTTTAACATGTAAACAAAAATTCAATGCAACACACTCCAAATGGATACAATTACTGGCTAACAGTTCCACATGACTATCTTCAATGAAATTAATGCCGAATAAGTTGACGACGCGTAAATTAGGCGTATGCGCTTTGATTTTACTAATATTGATCACCTAAAATGAGAAGATGACATTCATAGATAAATCATTTGTCTGTGAGTAGCCACTAAAAAAATTACGTAGCAGTTAACTGTTTGCCTGTTGAAGGTTAAAAAAAGATAAAAAATACAACCCACAAAACAGCTTTCTCCATATTAGATAACATTTACGGTAAATGGTATTGCACGTAGCTGATAGTAGCTAGCAAAGAAATTCAGCATACACACTTCGTCCAACTTGGGGCTCATCAGTTGGACGTACCTGCAGCTCCAATGAGTGATAGTCTTCCTACTGGGATGGGAGTCCTATGTAGAGCAAATGTGCACTCAGGATTCAATTGTTGGCTAACTTCATCCAAATAACATCATTCGAACATTCAGATATCGTCGAAGTATCAGTACTAGGAGCCGGCATGTCCACAGCGATCAAGCAAAAATATAAACGACGAGTTTGTTTGTAGGCATTTGATTCGTAGCAAGTTTGACAATAGACTGACATCTGTTAGAGAGCCACTGAAAACCAGACAAAATCGGACGTCTGCTTCGCCCCACTCCGGGACTCTTCAGTGTTAGGCACCTGTGATCCTTAAAGGAATCCAATCTGGAACCTTCAGGTTACGAAGTTTAAACTCATTGACCATTTAGCTACTTGGACAAGGAACCATGAATTTTAAATCCTGTTTATTAGCAATTTTAGCGTGACTGCCAGCCGATGTGATCTGCAATTGTTTTTCTTCATATACGAACGGGTTCTGGAACTGACATCAATCCTGATCTAAATTCAAACAAATCAAATCTCTACAGGCAAGCTGTTGAAAACCAGTCCCATTCAGTCACTAATGACTCGCTACAGGACAAATTCGATTGGAGTTCTAGGGAGAATTTGTGACCAATGGTTAGCTAACTAATATCAATCCGTGATCAAACATGAAACAAAGCAAACTCCTATAAACAAGTAATTCAGTCATAATTTACTTAAAACAGTGATTTTTCAAGAATTTTACTGAATTATACTTTCTTTTTTATAAATCTAAGAAAAGTTCAATGATTCAACAATTAGGTCAAAAGCAGTTAAACATTTTTTGTTTCCGCCACTGAATTACGTCACTTTACTTAACTTCAGAAAACATATTTATGAACTGGTGGTCGATATCTTAAAGTACCATGAAATGTTTATAGTGGCTTTTGATGTACTGATTTAGAAAAACAAAACTGATGAAGTAATTTGAATCTTATCTTTAGTTTTATTCTTAATGAAAACAAAGTAGGGTTTGTTTGTAACACTATTCATCATAGTTAAAACGAACCTTTGCAACTGTTATACTTATGATTTAAAGATATTATTTTGCTTTACAGTTATCAATGCTGGTGAACACTGAATGGTTTGTTTATTCAAACGAATCGCCATATTGGAGGGAGATAAGAAGGCTATCACTGCTTAATCGTGTACTGGTTGGTAGAAAACTGAAGAAATACGTTCAGAAGTATTGTTGAAAGATAAATTAATGTTTATTTACGGACTTTAGCACTGAGTAACAATTGTTAATCTGTTTCCTTATCGGTTGAAGAGTAAACAGTTGTATTACCCAACCGTTTTCTCTTATTCTGCATTGGTTACAGTGCATAGTATTCTGAATATTAGGCTTGGTCCTTCGAAACCAGAGATAGGTCCAGGATCTTTGTGATCTGCATATATGACAACAGTATTCTTTAAAATGAAATTTTATTTTGGCAAATCGGTTCTAAGTCTAGGAGTAATATACAGACGTTTTCTGTCATTTGAAATCCCTACTAGAAGTATACATCTGTGAGTCTTCTCATCTCTGTTTATGAGTCAGTAGTTGTTTATAGAGACAAAATGGTTTGTGTGCGCAGTGGTTTTCACGAACTTCATTTTGTGGTGTTATAGCTATAAATCCACAGGAACAACTACAATAGGATGGCTAATGTAGAAAAATCAACAAAATTGTTTTATACATATGGTTTTCTTGAAACGATTTTCGATAAAATCAGGAAGACCAAATTTGAAGTATAAAAAGACGTCGTCTTATCTCACAGCTCTTCATTTTTAGTCATCTTCATCAGTAATTTCAACCCGCTGAGCTAATTTCAATCTTAGGAACTATAACTGCCTTGATTCGCTATGTAACTTTATAGGTTAACACTGTTTTTCTGTTTTCTGCGTGTTTCGCCTTCACCTTTCTATCATTTTCTACTTTGAAATGCGTATAGACTAGTGGGGACTTGAACTAAAAAGATTGTGATGTTTACAATTTGTATAACTGAATCATTTAACACTAACTCTGCCATAATTTCAAAGTTGACACGTGTTATTTTTCATCCTTTTGATAAACATTGTGATTTGAAGTAGTTTGCAGACGTAGACAGCCTGAGAAATAAGACGATGCCATTTTATAAATGTCTGAACCAAGTTCACTTTCAACAGTTTGAAAAAAAACTTGGCCTTTTGGGTATATGATATTCATTATGATAAATTTTTTTTGTATTTCCCAATGAATGAAAAACAAAACGATATTGATTTTACTGACGTTTTGCTATTTATTCATAAGAGCTTTATCAAAGTAAAATTGAATCAGAATTACGGAATATACACATTGGGTCATAGAAGTAAATAAGAAGACAGTTGCAGCGAAGAAAATTTTCTTTTCGACGAAGTCATCATCTAGGCTGTCCATTCGTGTATTTATATCAAATGAATGGGAAAGTTCCAGAATAATATCCGGTCAAGGGTCAGATTAATAAAAATTAAAATTGGGAATTAGAATGCCATAATAAACAGGGGGACGGATAAAGCAAACAAAGTAGCATCATAATAACTAAGAAGACTGACATTGTGCAATTAGGGGTTAGAAATGTAGAAATAACAACAACAGACAGGATGTTTGGATAAAAACTAATGTGATGAATAATTGTTTATGCAATCAGGGATTAAATATGTAGAAATAGTAAAATGACAAAATAAAAACTAAGTTCGGGTATGAAAATATGGTAGTGCAAACAGGGATTAAGAAAAACTTTAAAAATAACATGAATAAACAGGAAGTTTAGATAAGAAAGGAGATGGGATGGTGATTACTAAAAATTACCTGTTTATGATGGCCATGGCAAGGACAGGGGTTGGACGTATTTCTTTTGTATACAAAGCGTGGGTTTGAGCTTTTGTATAGCTAGCGCCTCGGCTATGCCCAGATGTCTTGATTTTCCTCCCTTTGATAGGTTTGATCGAATCTTGTGAATGATTTTGAAGGATTTTTCGAGTGGCGCTGATGTTCTGTCACCGAACTATTCACCCGTTTTCGTTCTCCTTTTACTAGCCAGGCTGGATAGTGTTCACGAGCGCGTTTTTCAGAATTTACAAAATCGCAGCTATTATATATAACAACTTAATCACCGTTCATCACTATGGGTGATATTTACGTTGTCAAGTTGGTCAGTCAGTAAGCATAATAAAACCAAGTGTAGATTGTTGGATTTGATAAGCGTATAAAATTATAAAAGAAACATGTGTTCGCATAATGAAATTGTTTATCACATTCATGTTGATTTTGTCATTTCATAGGGGAGGGGGTGTTGTAACCAGGTTAAATTCCGTCTTAATCCGTCATTGCTGTTCAGAAAATTTGGATTCTATTTAACATGAAGTTTTTATGAAACAAGGTATTCTTTGTGATTTCTGAAATTGTTTTCCGGATGATTTCGATATTGTCAAAATCAATTTTGTGACCTGATTGTATAGCATTTATGCCCAAGGCAGATGATTTTTTAAGCTTTTCTAGTTCATCTGGATTTCTCGATGGTCAAACAGATCCACGGCGGTGTCCATCACTTCTAATCTTGATCTTTTGTGATGTGTGTCCGATGTTAATTGCATCACATTCCAAGCATTTCATTCCATGAACACAATTAGATAGAGAATCCTTAGGGATTTGGTCTTTTAGATGAACAAGGTGCCTTTGCAGTGTGTCTCATGTTTTGAAGAAAATTTTGATGTTGCGACCACGCAAAAATTACCCCATGCTGATGAACGATGATTAAATTCCTACATATAAGCTGAAGTTTTGTAAATTCTGATTTAATAACACTCTGATAAAGCTATTAGCAGCATTAAAAATAGTGAAACATCAGTAAAAACAATATCATTTTGTTTTTCATTCATTGGGAAATAAAGAAAGCTTTTAAAACAATCATGTCATTTTATACTGTAAATATGGTCTGTTATTCTTGATCGGAAATCGTTGAAATACTTAAACAATCACTCTTATGAATAAATGAATATAAAATGAAATCAAAATAACATTTGATCACGTACTTCTGGCAGTCTCTTGAAATAAGTGTAGGCAACCTAACCACTGATAACTGGAAATTGGTTTAGTTTTTCAATTAAATCAGATTCGAACCCGAGACTTTTCGATTAGAAGGCAAGCTCGTATACCAGTCAGCCACTGAGACCCGATAGAATGGCCCATGAATTCTAAATTCTACCAATTCATGATTTCAGCGCGACCACCAACAAATCTAATCCTTACAAACCAACTCTTGGGAATCAATCTGATGCTCGCTAGTGATTTGCTACAGGACGGAGTTTCCTGGAGTTCTAGTGAGAAGTCGTGACCAATGAAGTCCATACAGTCAAGTGTGAGGATGGATATCCCACCAATGACATTGGTTTGGGGTCGCGCTATATCAAGAATTAGTAGAAGTTAGAATTAATGGGCCATCAAACCGGGCCCCGAAGGGCTGAATGGTATACAAGCTTGCCTTGTAACTGGAAGGTCCTGGGTTCGAACCCCAGTGGGTGCGTACTGGCTATGATTCCAAAACTAGGATGAAAAAGCCGTCCAGTACTCCCTGGTTTTCAATGGTTCCCTAACTGATGTCAATTCGTGGTCAAACTCGTATAAACAAATCTAATCCTCACAAACCAACTATGGAAAATTGACTTAGAAAATACTCGATTTTCATTACCACTATGCGGGCCTCTTGTCTGTTTGATGAAGTGGAAACATTTCAGTGGTGTAAACACTCAACTCAAAGTTAGATAATGAATAACTGAATTAGTCTTATGTATTTAAAGTACAAAAATAAGTTTCAGCAGGTTGCTGTTTTTATGACTATCTTTTCAAAACGTTTTCACAACCTATAAATTGACCTCAAGTGACATTACTTTTCCTTAATTTCTAGTTTCAGCACTACTTGTGAATAAACCTGTAAATCTTACTGTTTCACTCAAGGTAGTTAGTAGGACTAGTGGTGTAAAACTCAGTCAACTCGTCACTAAATTAGTAGATAAGCATCTGAATACATGCGAAAAATGGTCCAAAACCATACTCTCTTACCCCCAATACCCCCTCTATTCCCAACTCTCTCCTTGCATCTCATCAGGTGGAACCAGAAAATAGTACAAAATAATATATGCTTGCACGACCAAGTATAGGAACTCAACGATACCATATCTGGCCCGTGTTCTAAGTGACAGAAACAGTGTTAAGCACGAAACGTACGACTTGCTTTGTTGTTAATAACATAATTTTGGCCCTTTTGTTTCTCCCTCATTCTCTCTTATTTGTATTCTATAGTGAACAACCTTCTTAAACATACTTAGCTACCTAAAATTATTAACACTGGCTTAGTTTTTTATACTTTATTCTATTCCCTCTTTTGTGTATCTACTGGTTCCGACTACATTATCACTATGAGTATTTAGTGCGTCGGTGGCACAGTGGTTAGGACTCTCGCCGACCATGCACATGGTTTGGGGTTCGAGCCCACGCCGACGCACACCTGATATCTATGGTCGGCCTGCAAAATTTGGGCTACCGATATCCATGCTGAAAATTCCACACTTGTACCAAAAATACAGTGTGGAATCAAGCTGTAAATCAAAAATAAAAAAAATAAATAAAAAATAAAAATTGTCCTGTCATTAACCATCATGTAATATCAGCTTTGTGGTTGCTTTTTTTGTTCGGCAATATTAACTGACAATCTTGGTTGTGAACGCCGTTATCACCATCCTAAAATTTTTGTATTATGCATGATTACTCACACTACCGCAACAAACACTGCATTAGTGCTGACAATAAAAATAAAATCCCTGAAATGTTTATTTTATGATTGCTTATTGTAGTTCAATCAAATTAACTGATCATCTTGGCTATAAACATTCCTAAGAACATTTCATAACTTCTTGTATGATTATAGCTGTTACTGTTCACCATGCATACACATATCATAGCTTCCACTACCAAATACTGAAATATTATTCATTATTGGTGTTTATCTTCCTTTCTACTTGGTATTTTTATTTGCATATTTTGTTATTTTTTCTGTTTCTTTTTGGTTTTCTTGTTGTTTTTTTATATTTATTTTTTTGTAATTACTCCTTTTAAATGTGCCATGAAATTAGATGCAATATTGTAGATATGTGCTGAAAATTCCACACTGTACCACTAGTACTGTTTCTGGAATAAAAGCGAAATTATTATTATTACTAATTTAAACTACAGGCACCATGGATAGGAATGTCAAAAACGGAATCATAAAAACGAAAAGTCAGAGTGCAAATCTTTTCCACTCAGCATAAAGAGCAAGATTGAAAATTTTACCTCCATTTTCAAGTCACTTCAGAGACTCAGTGTCTCACTGAAATCAATTCCAACAGTTTGCTGCAGACTCTCATCAACAGTTGCCTCCGTACAAAACTAAAGATCAGGTGGACTGACCAACAACCTAATAACCAACAAATATGAGGAGTACAATGAAAATTGATCTGATATATGTGGAGAAGACTATTGAGGGACACCATACGCCAGGTTGTCTAGAGGAATCTAAATAGGCGACGACGAGTTGGGCCTTAGTATGAGGGTGAAATAAAGGAGATCATTTAAGGAGGAGACAAAATCTTATGGTCAGTCGTGGAGCCAGCTAAAAATGACTGCAGAAAACAGCATGAAATAGAGATGTTCTGCTGAATACCTTGGTTCCACTTGGAACCCAAGAGAATATCAATAACTTATTCGTCTCTGTAATCATGTGGTCAGCTTGACTTATACATTTTTACAAAGAAGAAGATAAAACGTGTACATTACTTAAATTGGAGTGATCAGTTTGGATGCTATCCCTATGCAGAATGAATAGGCACTGAACTCTAGAATAGCGTACCTGGTTGCAAAAAATCTACTGCTAGAAGTCAGCATACCTTTAAAAAATGAGAACTATTGCTGGCTCTGTTATTCAGTTTGTTTGAAAGCATAGAAAAACCTTTCCTTTAATTTTAACATACCACAAGACATGACATCAGTTGGTTGATGATAAATAGTAGTGTAATCCACATTGTAAATTTTATCTTATGTGAGATTCGTTAGCTGGATGAACCTTATTCCCCAGTGAGTGATGTATGATGTTCCCACTGGTGCTCAGTTTGAACAACCATCTTTTTCAATCGACAAAGCGTTATTTATTAGGCCACCGGGACAAATAATAACATCATCAAAATATCCATGCCAAGAGCAAACATATCAACTGAGACCAAGCCTTTCGGTTCAGTATAATCAAATGAAAGGAGAAATTCAAACTAACTAAAATCAAAAACATGGAAAAACAAGGTTGCAGCTGGTCGGGTGTGAGGACAAATACTCGCCGAAGACGTTGGCTAGCGGTCGCGCTATGTCGCGAATTGGCAGAAGTTAGAATTCAAGGACCATTGGATCGGGTCTCAGTGGCTTAATGGTATACGAGCTCGCCTTGTAACCGGAAGGTCCTGGGTTCGAATCCCGGTGGGTGTGTACTGCTGAAGAGTCCCAAACTAGGACGAAACAGCTGTCCAGTACTCCCAGGTTTTCCAATGGCTCTCTAAATAATGTCAGCTCACGATGAAATCCTGAAACCAATCAAATCCCTACAAACCAACACTTGAAAAAAAATTATAAAAATCAACTCACCTCATAGATTTCTTCCTCTTCCTCTGTGGCTAATTCGAATGTACCTGTAAGCGTGAATAAGAAAATAAATAAGCTTGTAAGTACTCAGATATTAATAAATCAGGAAATAAGGCTGGTGTTTATATATATATATATATATATCAAAGATTCATAGCTCTGCTCTACGGAAATTCTAATGGTTCAGATAGCCATGTTATTCTCACACTTAAACACTAATCATCATATACCAACAGATTTAAAGATGACATTTACGATTATATACATGATCATCTGTCCTCGTTTTGTTATGCCAAGACGCTGTATGCTACTGATTGGCTGATGTGAGGAGTTGTATACTACTCAAGTTAACCATTACTGTTTATTAGGCAGGTTGAAGTGACCAAACGTTTGTTTCACTTGTCAGCGATGTACCCAGTTTTATTCAGGTCACACAACCCAGTATGTTTGAACCATCCAGTTTCTGGTTAGCTACTTAGCCGAGCTGGTCATACTATAAATCGAATTTGCAATTAGCGCTTTACACAGTTCGAGGAGGTGAAATTTCACTGCAATTTCCTTTGAGTGTGGAAATTATCCAGATCGGTCCTTCGAGCTTAGTCACATAAGGTACACCAAGACTGATTTGCAAACTGTGAACTCGATTCTTCTCATGAGTTAGTTTGTGGGGATTCGATTTGTTCCACGTTTGATCACAGATTGATGTCAGTTAGATATTGGAGTCTATAGGTTACTGGATGGGTACCCATTGGCTGAACAGTCCATGAGGTTGCCTTGTAACTGGAAGGCTATCATTTCGAGTCCCAGTGGATACAAGCTGATGAAGAGTCATGAGCTAGGACGAAACAGCTGTCCAGTACGGCCTGGTTTCCAATTGTCTGTAATTAAAACTTAAATAATTCAATCTTTGTTTTATTATGTGCCATCAGCTTTCATGAATGATTCAAGTTTCATACAATAACTCAAACACTGGTGTGGCGTCGGTGGCACAGTGGTTAGGACTCTCGCCGACCATGCACATGGTCCGGGGTTCGAGCCCGCGCCGGCGCACACCTGATATCTATGGTCGGCCTGCGAAATTCGGGCTACCGATATCCGTGCTGAAAATTCCATACTTGTACCAAAAATACAGTGTGGAATCAAGCTGTAAATCTAAAAAAAAAAAATCATCTGCTCTAGACTCATGTAATAAAGTTATGTATAGGTAATTATGGGCAATATTTAGTAAAGATAATACCAATAAGAGTTGAGATTTTTTTCTCAGTTTCAATGAAAGAACAGTATTTAATCTAGAGCGGCTCCGATAACAGTGAGTTTTGATGAATACCTACAAATTTTTAAAATATTTATACATATCATTGGAAACATGAGGTTCAAATTTCTATTCTTATAAATCAAATAATCCTCTAACACAACAAAGTTAGGTAGAAAGAAGTCGGTGAACAGAGATGGAGGCTATCAACTTTTAAAATGTCATTTTTGTCACCACATTCCAATCCACATTAATTATCATTGACGTTAATTATTAGTGATTCCAGGGACAATTCTAAATAACCTTTTGAAAAGAGGTGAATAAATATTGACACTCTGAACATTGAATATAATAAACTATATGTGCTTTATTTATTTATTCATATACGATAACAGTTTTTATCACAGATGATGATCATGATCATGAGACATTCACGAGCGAAAAGCAATTTTTGTTGTTATCCTAAATCATAAAATTTCTTCTGATTTTTTCACATAGTATTTTCAAGTAACACATGGAAAAAAAACCTGTTATACACAGTGGCCTGCTTAAAAATTTCGCTACCAAATACCATCATCATTATGTTGCTTATAATTTTGTTTGTTTACTTTTTTATGCTACTGATAATGTGCTGCTTGTGGAAAAGCAGATCAATCGTCAGCTTCAGATTTTACTGATGTTGGTTTTATAAGTGAAAATCTTTATAAACAACTTAAAGCAATCGGGTGACATACTCCTCAGCTTTATGGTCTTCTGAAGATGCACAAAACTGGGAACCCACTGAGACCCATCTTAGACATGTCAAATTCTCCTTATCATAAAATCGCCAAATGGATTACAGAGATCCTTACGCCTGTAAGAGACTCATTATCAAATCATTCTGTAAAAAGTTCATTTGATCTTACAGAAATGCTAGACATCAGCAATGCTAGACTACATCGATAAAATGTTATCAGTCTTGTCAGATGAAAACAAATTTTCAAAAGAAAGTAGCCAGAAAGACCAAACGGAACAAATTAAAGCAAGATAACACAAATGCTGAAGAATATGAAGAACGAATCGATTATTAGCTCTGAATTATTCGAGCAAATACGACCCTCCGGTTCCGTGATTCCCCGTTTATATGGTCTGCCAAAAGTGCACAAAGAGAACGTGCCACTACGTCCAATCCTGGACATGAAAAATTCTCCATATCATGCTACTGCCAAATGGCTCACAGAAATCCTCCTACCTATCAGAAATAATCTCTGCAAGCATAGTGTTTCTGATTCGTTTGAATTCGTCGACTCAATAAATGATGCTAATGTATCTGGGAAGAAAATGATATCTATGGATGTTACTTCGCTTTTCACCAACGTTCCCCTCACTGAAACTATCTGCTTTTTATGCAAATTCATTGAAGATAATAATGTGGACGTATGTGTTCCGATACACTACTTAAAGGAACTACTTTTGAGGTGCACTCTAAATGTCCAATTCAAATTCAACAACACGATATATAGACAAAGAGATGGAGTAGCAATGGGGTCACCACTGGGTCCTTTACTTGCAGATTGCTTCTTGGCCAGTTTGGAGAATAGTATTTTATGGCCTACTATCGACAGTTTCCATCTGTACCTAAGATACATGGATGATACCTTCATCATATGTGACGACAATACTGACGTCGAATTGATAACTAATGAGTTCAACAGCTGCCATCATGCCATCAAATTCACGTCGGAATCAGAGATTAACTCGGAATTCCACTTTTTGGATGTTTTTCTAAAGAGGAGATCTGATGGCTCTCTTCAAAGATCGATCTACAGGAAACCAACATGGAATGGTCAGTACACAAATTTCCATAGCTGGGTCCCTTTAAGAAGAAAGAGAAATTTGATCCATTCCTTATCCTCAAGAATAAGGAGGATATGTTCAAGTGATACAATCGATGGGGAATTGGAGCGACTCAGACAAGTTCTCTTAGAGAATGGATATCCTCCAAGATTCATCGAGAAAAACATGAAGCTAAGAGAAAAGCCCGAAAGAATTCAGACTGTGCCGAAGAAACTGCTCTTTATGAGTGTTGAATTTAAAGGTGATACTGCAGCTGAGATCTTGAAGAATCGCTTACGCAGATCACTGAGGAAAGCCTTCTTTATGGCTGAGCTACGTATCAATTTCTACAGCCGACGAATGATCAACGGATGTGTAAAGGATAAGCTGCCGCTTTGGGCCACCTCAATGTGTGTTTATAAATTCACATGCTCGTGTGGAGCAAGTTATATTGGCCGCACAAAGCGCACGCTTTCCAAACGCATCTCTGAACATTATCCGGCATGGTTAGCAAAGGGACAATACAAGACAATTACTAGCTCAATTCTCGAGCATTTGGTGAACTCAGGCCACGTAGCTCCACCAGAGTCGTCTTTCAACATCATCTACAAAGTGAAGCCAAATTGTACAAAAGGCGTCAGGTTCCGGCTTTTGTGTATGGCGGAGGCGCTGGCAATACATCAATACAACCCTGATCTCTGTATACAGAAAAAGTTTGTCCAGTCTCTTATTCTACCTTGGTCTTAACCTCTTCACTTATCCTTCCCTGTTAAAAAATATTTTTGATTTTGTTCTTAATCTTTAATTTTACTTTTAGTTTGCTTTTGCTTTAATAATTAATTCACTATTATCAATTTCATATATTTTCACACCTTCTTCACACTTGTTAAATTGACACTCTAATAACTTTATTCTCACTCAAGAGCAATTTTAACCTTTTCTAACTTCTATCTTTGTTCCGTCAAGTACCATGTAATTTACAACTTTTAATTTTCACCTCTAAAGCCACTTATGATTAATTACAGCAATTATGTCACCCCCTATTATTCAATAATAGACCACTATACATTCTTCTAAGTATAAATACGACTGTACAGCCTCTGAAGATGATTTCGTCGATAAAGAAAATTTTCTTCGCTGAATCCGTCTTTTATTTTCTTCATGACTCAATGGGTATTTTCCGTGAAATGCTAGACGCTTTGAACATTGAGGAAAATTTATGTGTTCAATTGACATAGTATCTTTATTCACTTATGTTCCCTTTCATGAAACTGTTGATTTCATTTGCGATTACATCACAAGCAATGGGATAAAATCACCTATTCCTGTAACTCACATCAAAGACATCATCTTAATGTGCACAGAATATATTAGATTTACATTCCAAGAAAAGGCATACAAACAAATCGATGGTGTTGCGATGGGGAGCTCTCTGGGGCCCCTGTTAGCAGATATATTTATATCACAATTAGCGAAACAAATGTAAGGTATGCTTGAAGAATTTGTGCTGTATAAACGTTATGTAGATGATACTCTTTTTGTTGGTAATAATAGTAAGTCTATTGAAAACTTTATTACCCTGTTTAATCATATTCATCCAAATATTCAAGTGACTTTCGAACTAGAATCGAATAAAAACTCGGTTTCCTGGATATTACTATGAATAGAAGAGATGATGGAACGATTCAGCGATCTATTTTTCGTAAACAGACATGGAGTGGACAATATCTTCATTTTACTAGTTTTGTTCCTATCCAGTATAAACGTTCCCTGGTGAAATGTTTGTTCTCAAGGGCTCGAAAAATATGTACGAGTGACACATTGATGGATGAGCTTCGACATAAACATTCAGTTTCACTAGCCAATGGTTATCCAGAAAACTTCATCACTTGTCACAGTAAAGAAATACTACATCTCGAAAAGACAGCTTCTGTATCAAAGAAAGCTATCTTTATTAACTCACCATTCAAGGGTGACCAG